TCAAGAAATCCCCCCCCATTTGCCCAATGCCCCTTTACCAATCATACCCAGGGCCCCTACTCAAACCCTTTCTGGAGCCCACCCAGAGGCAAGAATGGTGGCCAGTGAGGGCGAGGAGAGGCAGCTTCTCTGGGCACACACGCTGGGCCTGACATCCCTCCACCTGGCACTGGTAAGGGCAGAGCAAACACACTGCTCCTCCAAGCAGAAGCAACCACTTACCCCTCAGCCTCCAGCTCCAAACCCCGCTGGAGAGGGGGTGCCAAAAGCAGAGATGGGTGTGGGAGGCCAGGGCTTCCCAGCACCTGGTTATCCTCCCATCCATGGACAGAACCAGACATGGCGGAGGAGGTATGGGTGGGCAGCTGGAGGCCCCATCGTCCCCGGGGCCCCATCATGGCCCTCTACAGCAGCCCTGGACCCAAGTACCTGATTCCACCCACCACGGGTAAGCACTGTTGAGCCTGGGAGGGGCAGGTGGGGATGGGGCCAGAGTCAGTCATGGGTAGGCCTGGGATGGGGTTGGAGACGCCTGGAGCTCATTCCTGACTCCCTGGCCCCATCAGTCTGTCTAGGTGGACAGGGTGGAGAGAAGGGTGGGATCTGACTTCAGGCTACCCTGACCCCCATCCACAGGGTTTGTGAAGCACACACCCACCAAGCTGCGTGCACCAGCCTATAGCTTCCGTGGGGCCCCCATGCTCCTCGCAGAAAATTGCTCGCCAGGGCCCCGCTACAGCGTGAACCCCAAGATACTGAGGACCGGAAAGGACCTCGGGCCAGCTTTCTCCATCTTGGGGCGTTACTGCACCAAGACAACTCTGACCCCTGGTCCTGGTGAGCAACCCATTGGCCCTGCCTCAGCCCTGCCCAATGCTGCTGGTGGCAGTATAACCTGGTAAGGTGAGGGTGGGAGGGGGTACAACTGTCCTGGTCCTCTTGCCCCTCTTTCTCCACTCAGAGAGCCCATCAAGCTTCAGCAGGAGAGCCGCCAACCCCAAGGCAGTTTCCGATGCCCTCAAGTCCAACCCTTACCTGGATCTTTTGAGACACATAATGCCAACTCATATTCCCCCCCCGTGCCTCAAACACAACTCCTGTCCCCCAACCTCCTACAATGTTTCTATCCTGGACAACCTTGGTCCTGGACGAGCTCAGTCACCAATTGTGTAAGGACCCAGAGGTTCAACATCTCAATTTTGGGGTCCTACTTGAGCCACCCCGAGCCAGACCAGGCACATGCATGGACAGTCCTTCTTCTTCTCTGTTTCCTTCCATTCCTTTCCTTCTCCAGGTGACTACTTTCCAGAGAAATCTACCAAGCATGTCTTTGACTCAGCACCCAGCCACTCTATTTCCGCTCGAACCAAGACCTTCCGAATGGATAGCACCCCAGGTCCTCAGGAGCCAGGCGGCCCTTAGTCCATAAGGCCAGGAATTCAGGGTGGAGTGGGTGGGGTAGGGAGGTCTTATGAAGGCAGAAGGTCATGGGGGAGGAGACAGAGGAGACTTTGGACACAAGACCCCATCCAGCAGAAGACTTGGTGTCCTTGCACCTCGCAGGTCCAGCCGCATACATGTTGCCCATGGTGATGGGGCCCCAAACTGTTGGCAAGGTCTCTCAGCCTTCCTTCTCCATCAAGGGCCGCAGCAAGCTGGGTGGTTTCAGCGATGATCTACACAAGGCAAGGGTCACCAACCTGGGAAAGTGCATGGTTTAGTCCCAGAAAGATGGCCTACCTGGGCCCCTTCCACAAACCCCAGGATATACCCGCCTGAACCCCTGCTCCTAAGGCCCCTGATTCTTCACTCTCTGGGTACCTGTGAGGTTCCATCCCTGTGATGAGGGAAGAAAAACAGAAAGAATTAAGAGGCCCAGGCCCAAAGACGACACTGATAAGGGAGCAGTAGGAAAGAGTTTTAGGGTATCTGTTGGGGGATAGAGAACTGAGGGCAGCATGAAAGAAGGAAAACAAACCTGAAAGTATTTGGGGGAGGAGGGTCTCAGTGCATCTAAGACCCTAAGGTGCCTACAAGGAGCTTAAAAAGTCACAGTGCCCCTCATCCCACCCTACCCCCCTATGTCACTGCCTTGGCAAGGCTGAAGTCAACAGGGACAGTCAGATAAAGGGGCCAGACGCACCAAGCGTGGTTTCATTAGGTTAGCCATTCATGGAGACAGAGGGTTCCCTGATGCAGAGTGAGGCAAGACCTAAAGCTCACTGTCTAAAGCTAGCTCCCTGCCCTTTGGGTCCCGAGCCCACCTAAACTTTTTCACCTCCCAGACCCCAGGTCCTGCAGCCTACCGCCAGACTGATGTGCAGGTGACAAGGTTCAAGGCTCCACAGTACACCATGGCTGCCCGGGTGGAGCCCCCAGGGGACAAGACCCTCAAGCCAGGACCAGGAGCTCACAGTCCTGAGAAGGTCTAAGAAGGGAATAGTCTCAGGGAGCCGGGGAGCTGGGGGGGGGGGGGGGGGACAATGAGTGAAGAGGGGTTGTATGGCTAAGAGATGTTGGGAGGTAGAAACAGTGAGAGAAGTGTATAGCTCTGAGTGGGTCAGGGATCATGGGCCAAGGGAGGTGGGGTGGGGTGTACGATGATAGAAATAGACAAAAGGGAGGGTATAGCTGGGGGATGGGAAAGGGCTTGTCACAGTTGGGTAAAGAAGGGCCAGTAAACATACAAGGGGGCGGGAGATAGCAGGGTGGAGGACAGGCACATAGCCTCAGAACGTCACATTTCTGGGACCAGTCCTTTCCCCCACCTAGCAGACTGAGTCCTGAGACACCAGTGAGAGTTAACAGTGCTCACCACACACCAAATTCTGGGTTCAAACTGGCAGTATGGCCTTGGTACCAGTCTCCTGGACTCAGGGTCAGAAAGGGCAGCAAAGCTACAGTCAGCAGCCCTAAGCTACACTGGGGTGCAGGACCAGGCAGCGGGCTGGTTCCTCTGAAAGCCTCTCCTTTCCCAGGTGACAATGACCAAGCCCTGTGCTCCCATCATCACCTTTGGCATCAAACACTCTGACTACATGACACCTCTGGTTGTGGACGTGGAATAAACCTGGCCTCCACCCCACCTATCCTTCCTATCCTAAGCCTCAGAACATCCTATTTCTACAAGAGTCCTTATGCCATGGGCTGAGGATGCTAGGCTATAGCTGAGCTGGCCCTCCAGGACAGAGCATGCTGATCCGCACAATTATGACCAGTTATTTTTTCCCCATTTGCTAATCTTATTCCCTACTGTGCCCAAGCTTTTAATAAATCATGGATTTCATTTATTTTTTTCCTTGGGAGGTGGGGCGGAAATCATGGTTTTCCAAAAGAGGTCCCCATTGTGGCACTGTAGCACTGTCCTCCCATTGTTCATCGATTTGCTCGAGCAGGCCCAGTAACATCTCCATTTTGAGACTTGTTTTTACTGTGTTTGGCATATTGAATATATCACAGGGAGCTTGCCAGGCTTTGCCGTGTGGGCAAGATAGTCTCGGTAGCTTGCCGGGCTCTCTGAGAGGGTGGAGGAATCGAACCCGGCTCGGCCGGGCTGGCTGCGTGCAAGGCAAACACCCTACTGCTGTGCTATCGCTCCAGCCCATATCCCCATTGTACCAGCCAACATTAGGTACAATCCCAATTTCCAGTATCCATGGGCAGAGGGGGCAGGCAGAGAAGAGAATTGAGAGAGTAAGATGGACATGCCTAATCTCCATTGATTAAGTCCTATCCTCTACTTTTAGGCAGTGGGATGGGATAGGGTTGATCCCAAGTATGATATGGGATCTGTGGGTCACTCCTGGGAGATGTCAACAGGCCAGTGGTTCCACTCAGGAGCCTGAGGATTACCCAGGTCCCCTGGTAGTGTTCATCCACGGCTTTACCTAGCAATGCTTGGAGGAATACCATGTGGTGCCAGGGATCAAACCAGGATTGGCCACATGCAAGGTATAGCCCTAACTTCTATACCATCTCTTGGGTCTCCCTCATCTTTTTGTTATGCACTCAAGATGGCAACAACTGCACCCATCAGCTTCCTGTGACTGACCAACCATCCCCCTTAAGAGCAAGGGTCTGTGGGAATCTCCTTGAATCTGAACTAGAGTCTATGACCACGGAGTGAAGTGATGCCTCATAACTGAGTCAGGTCATACAACATGCAAATGAAACAACTCAAACCCAGATAGCTCCCCTCTACTTATTCACTTTTACCTACAGCCACCAGGTTATAAGAAAGCTCAACATGTGGTGACATATGTGAAGACCATTGGCTCAGCTGGGCCTCTGCTCATATCAGCAATAACCTCCAGATATATGCAGAGGACAGCAGTTGTAGCCCCACATTTCCCATCCAAGCCTGACATGGTAGAACAAAGAGAGCTGCCCCACCATGCTAAATTTCAATCATAGTAACCATGAAAGACAAACTACTATTGCATTTTAATTGGCTATATTTTAGGGTAAAGTTACACACTAAAGGGGGTATTGGAAACACAGGAGGGCCTGGGCTTCTGAGCTGGACTTGCCTCCACCTTAGAAAAAGGCTACTGGGTCCACACCACAGGTGCATGAGTGCCCACAACCACGGTACAACTGCTGATCCTCACTAAACTGTGACCATGTCAGATCACATGTTTAAGTACCTCATATTTATTCTTTAACCCTTAAGAAAATGCTGTTAAACATTTCCACTTGATTTTTGAGGGGAGATCCTGGTACCTCTGGAGATGGGAAAGGAAACAAAGTCTAAAGCAAAGTTTTTTCAACCCTTTTCACTTGTGGAACAGCATCTGTCCTGTATACCAGTTCTTGGACCAGCAGTTATAACCAAAGCAGTGGTTTTCAAACTGTGGTTTTCAAACTCCCTAAACCTGTGAACTAGCACAAGTCCCTAGCTGGAGCATCAAGTGACTACAGCAGGTCTGCAGGTCAAAGCCAATTTCAGACAAAACTTAATCAGGCCCCTATGGAAATAAAAACAAAAGACAATTTATTTTATCTTATAGTTGTTAAAAATTTTATTAAATATCTTGTCTTTAAATTATGGGATAAAGCTTGGCAGTCTGTCCTCATTGGGCACCCAGTCCTTTTTTGTTTTACTGGCCACAGGGACCAAAGTCAGCAAATTCCACTTATCCACAGGATTAGGCATTGAGTGTACCAGGCCAAGGAAGGATGGTGAAGGTCCCAAAGGAAACTGCTCTGACACAGTACCAGCAGAGTTGCTGTTCCCTACCATGGAACCGTTGTTCCTGACACAACGAGAACAGAAAACAGAAAAGCCAGAAAGGAACTAAAACCCAGTAATCACAACAGCTGAGAGGAGCTACGCAGGTCACTTAATCACTTAAGTCATCACAACAGCTGAGAGGAGCTACGCAGGTAAGAGGGCAGCAAACACACATGGAGAGAACACAGCAACCAAAGGTGTCAAAGATTATGGCAAAGAAAATTTTGTGAGGTGGCTACCCCACAGACTAAATTCATATCATAGTCTGCAACAGCAAGAGAGGGCACAGCCTGGTAAGAGCATCCAAAGGTGTAGTTTGGCTCCCACACTTGAGCCAGTTTCAGAAGTCAAGGTCAGAAATATACAGGCCAAGAAAAGATGGCATGGAGCATAAGCACATGAACCTATGACAACTACATGGAGACAATGCACGGAGAGCAGTTTATGGAGCTTGGTGCCAGTAAAAAATCCCCGTGATGAGGTTTTATGTGAACTAAACAGCATGTACAAGGAGACTGGAGAATGGGAAAGGACCATGAAAATCTACAATGAACATCCAAGAACATGGGAAAGCCAGGAGCAAGGTGAATCTGGAAGAAATAGCAAAGCTCCAAAGCTATGGACACAGTGAGTAAGCAATGAGCATAAGCTGGAGAGATAGGACAGTTAGAAGAGTCACAGCGTGGTAGATTCTCCTACAGAAATCTGAGGGAGAGAGCCAGGTGGGGTGGGAGAGAGAAGGAAGCTTTGTGAGAGACTATGCCTGCCAGATGGAGGGGGAGGAATAGGAGCACCAAAAGGACCAGTGCGAAGGACCAGTCCTGGGGACTCAGGAGCTGACGGGCACCAGACTATGCCTGACATTTGATATGTGACCACACATAGAGGGACAGTTCAAGTGGGTAGGACACTGAAACTGTAGCCTTTATAGCCTTTATGGAGTAAGGGGCAAGTGTTCCAGGAGGCAGGAAATATAAACCAAGACAGAAAAAACAGTCCAGCCTTATGTACATCTATGCTAACATCAGGATAGGGTTGGAGAAGTGTGGGAAGGTGGTGCCGCTCTGGGTGAGCATGGGGCTGGCCAAGTGGGCAGTGAGGGCCAGGGAAAGATGGGTGGGAGGGCATTCTATACAAACTGAAGATAAAGGCCATGGCTCACAGCTGCCTCAATGAAAAGGGAGACTTGCTGTGGGAGGAAAGGCAGGACTTGATGAAAGCAAAACAGTCCTGAGACCTTTGTGAGATGACTTTTGGGTCCTTTTGAAGAATCCTTGGAGATCTACATCCTTCTGTTTAGATGACTAAAAGGTCCCATACCCTACCTGAATGAAATATAGGTAGGCCTTGTTTCTAGAGTTTTGGTCTCCTGGAAACACATCTTTGGTAACAGATAGATCCTGAAAATATATTTCTGTTCCTGGATACACAGTCACACAATGCAGGGGTATCCGGGATATGTAGCTCCAGCCAAGGATATAATCCACGTGTTCATTCATAACTCTTGCCCTTTGCAAGGGCCTAATTTCTGCCATGGTACAGAGGTTTGTAAGTGGGACCCTCTGTTCACACTGCCTTGCCCATGTTCAGCAGTCCTGGCAAGGAGGAACTGCCATTTCAGGGCTAAGGACTAAGGTCAGAGGAGATGGAGCTGTTGAGAGGTCAATGTCACACCCTTTTTTCTGTGTCACACTTAGCCACCTCAGATGGCAGATTGTGGCATTACGCAGGCTGGACAAGGCGGAGGAGCACTGAAGGGTCCAAACTCTATGCCCGGGGAAAGGGCTAGCAATTACAAGTGTATTAGGTTTGCTGGCACCTCTAGCACTGAGGTTGGTGGAAAGGGCTACTAGGCCTTGGATTTCCCAAGCATAAAACCTCTTGCACCTCTGGGGTCACCCAAAAAGAGCTCACTCAGAGACAGCACTTGGCTTCCAAACTGACAGGAAGAAGACTCCTAACACACAATAATCATTTGAAAGTATGTTGTAGGTAAGTCCTCGGGAGCCCAGGACACTAGGCAGGAGGAGACCTCGGTTGCCCCAGGCACCCACAGAAGCCAGCTCCCATCAGCTCAAGTCCTTGCTCTCGACACAAGGTAGGAGAGGATGAAGAAGGCCACAATCAGGCCCACGGCCATACTGCATAGGAGCTTCCGGTTGTCTCGCCCAGACCGTGCCATTGTGGAAAAACGCTTCACACTCCCCGTGAGCAGGCCTGTCATGCTCGTGAAATCCGAGTCCTGAGGGAGGAATCCCAGTAGGGTCACAGAGGAGCAGTAACACCTCCAAGACCCACACACTGGAGCTGCAGAAGACAGAGGGGGACTTGCATAGCAGATGATGCGGGGTGGAGCTGACCAAGACATTGCTATACACTGCAGAACCTTACCATTCCATCCAAGTACCGGTTCTGGTCGTCCACATCCCTGTCGATGTCCAGAGCCAGCTGATCAGTACAGAAAGGAGGAGGCAGGGTCAGGCCAGGGTGGACACACATATCTGGAGACACTTGACCTTCCCCAAGACCAACAGACCTCAGCAAAATTCCGCCAACCACACACCACCAGCAGAGGTCAGAGAAACCAATTTGTCATGTGGGTCACACACAAGTGCAACCAGAGGTGGTATAGGAGTGATGAGAAATATTGAAAAACCCTTTCAGACCTCAACCCTCCTTCTGATCTGCATACTGATGTGTCAGGTGGAGGTGAAAACAGAGAAACAACACTGACCGATTTGAGCCTGGTAACTTTGGAGGCCAGGTTGTCCGTCAACCGCTTGTTCTCCAGGTCAAGAATCTCTTCCACAGCACCAGGGTTCTGAGCTGCAGAAGAGAGATGTTCAGGGTTACATCCATGCACAACTCCTGTATATGTGAAGTTAATCCTTTATGGTTTCTGGGGGGGTTCTCTAAATTGGAAGGTAATCTGGGAGCACTGGGCCCACCCACGTCTGTTTTGTTTATTAGAGTTAGGGATAGAATTCAGAGCCTCACACACTGAGCTACATCCCCAGCCCATGTCTGCCAAGCAGGTCCAGCCCTGACCCAGGATCTGCTACATGAATTTTACAAAAGTGACTGGCTGTATAAAAATTAGTATGTGTGAGCACTGGTTACATAAAGTACATGCCCAGGTTACACCTTCGAAGGATCCAGTTCGATCAGCACTTTCTGACACTGTTACAGAAACTGTGCCAAGCTCAGGATGCCCCTAGAGATGTCACCACAGGGATACAGGAGACTTCTCAGAGAAAAGTGTATTCGGGCTTGTATGCAAACTTGAAAAAAGACTGAGAAAAAGGATCCAAAGACAAGGTCTTGAGGGCAAAAGAAACAAGAGAGAAAACACCGAGCAAGGTCGTGCGCCTCCCAAAAAGAGTGAAGAGCGCTGATGTGGTAGTAGGTCCCAAGTCTGTTCACCCCGTCCTGCACCGGCCTTTGTATGGCCTACGGGGCAAAGTGTTTGCTGGCTCCCAACGAGGGCTACAATAGGTGTCTGGAATTGGTGAGTGAGAAGCACTCGGATGAGTGAGAAGAACCAAGTAAGAAGCTGCCACTGCGCTGAGTCGGAGCAAGGCGACACCACCCACACGGCTGGCTTGACTGGTGGGCAAAGCCCTCACCGGAAGTGGTGAGGGCCTAGACACCAGCCCGACCTGGTGAGTTCCTGCACGGTCACAGCAGCCCAATCCTGACACAAGGGGCGCGCTGGGGACAGCTTGGGCATTTCCCCACGCCCGGGGCCAGACTACAAGGGTCGCCAACCCGGCGCACGGCGCGGCAACCCCCACTCCGCCTTGGACTGCTTGGCCTCCTGCCGAGCCCAACGGGGCCGGCCGACGGGGTGGCTCAGCGAGGTGGACAGCTACCCGACCCGCTCCCCCACGCTCACCCCGAGCCCAGTCGGCCATGGTGCCTCGATCTGGCCCCGCTTGGGCCCCTGCCTCGGCTGCAGCTCCGGCGCCCGCCCCGCGCCTCCTTGGACGTGGCGCCTCCCCGAAACTTCCGGATCCGCCCCTTCCGCCTCGAGCCTGTCGACTTCCGGCCACGGGGCCTTGGGGTCGCCCCGGGGCTGGTCCCCTTGGGAGCGCGGCCGCCCGCTGACGGGCACGGGTGGGGCGAGCCCCCGCCCGCCGCTGGTCGAGGCGATTCCGGGGGTCCGGTGCTGCAGAAGCGGGCACGGCTCCCGGCACGGGGGGGCGAGGGGGTCACTCGGACCTGACTGCGGTCCGTGGTGGGGGCCGGGCCCAGGAACGCCCGTTTTCCTCCAGCCTTGAAAGACTCCGCCCCAGCCCCTTCCCTGCCCGATTCCTGTTAGGCTCGGCAAAAGGGGCCCTTCCTCGGACTCATACGCTGCCTCCGAGGCTCCCCCGCACCGGCACTGTCCGTTCCGTCCTTCCGCGCCCTCGCCGGGCCTCTCCGGCAGCACGCACTCCGCGGCTACCGGCGCGCTCCCACCCATCTCCCCTCCACGGCCTCCTCGTCCTGTGGGCGCCGGTCCGGAGCTGAGGAGCCAAGCAGCTCAGAGACTGGCGCCGCGTGGCCGGCCCTGAGGCAATGGCTTCTCAGTGATCGCGCCGCCGCCTCAGACTCGGGCAGACGCTCGCACCGCCTCGCTCTAACTTCCCGGCGCTCGCTCGGGCCCCGCCCCGCGGCGGCGTCACCTCGCTGCGCGCGTGGGCCCCGCCCTGCAATTGCGTCACTTTTCCGCGCCCCGGCCTGCCGGGCACAGTGGCCCGGCCCGCCGCCGCTACCCGCCCCCCCCCCGCCCGGCCCGGCGTCCCCCGCGCGCCGAGCTGGGGTGGGGCGAGCGGACTCCAGTCCGGAACTGTGGCGCTCGGACTCCCCAGCCGCCCGGGCTGCGGGCTCGGGGTGGGCGTGGGGGGCGCCATGGAGCCTCGGGCGGTGGTAGATGCTGTAGAGTCGGGCAAGGAAGACGAGATTATGGAGGCTCTGCGCACGTTTAACCGGGAGGTGAGCGGGAGTCGCCCAGTGGGACGTGGAAGGAGGAGGGGGTGGGCAGGTGGTCTCGGGGGCGTTCTGGAGATGGGCACACTACCGGGTAGGGGTGTGGGGGTCCCTTGTGCTCAGAGCGGTGCCTGCCACCCCAGAACCCCACCCACGGTGCTTGGGGCCTGCGGGCTGTGGTCTGTTGGCGCCTGAGCCAAGGGTGTCTTTACAGAACTCGCAGAGCTTCACGTTTGAAGATGCCCAGCAGGAGGACAGGAAGGTGGGTGTCGTCCCAAAGGCAACGGGACAGGGACGGGTGGTCCCCAGTAGAGGGGAAGGCTCGTGAAACCGTTCTTCTCCACGCCCACAGAGGCTTGCGGAACTGCTGGTTTCGGCCCTGGAACGGGGCTTGCCGGCTGCGGGCCGTGTCACCTGGCTGCAGAGCATCCGAATCCTGTCCAGGGACCGAAGCTGCCTGGACTTGTTCACCAGCCTCCAGAGCCTGCAGGCACTTGCCCACCACGCTGGCATTTCCAGTTCCGACGGGTTGGTCCCCGAACCCCCGGATATGGACATTGTGCTCGAATCTCTCAAGTGCCTGTGCAATCTTGTGCTCAGCAGCCCCGTGGCACAGGTGCTGGCCGCAGAGGCCCACCTGGTGGTGAGGCTATCTGAGCGAGTAGCTCGGTACCGGGAGAGAATCTTTACTAACGATGTTCAGTTTTTTGACTTGCGCCTCCTGTTCTTGCTCACGGCACTTCGCAAGGACGTTCGCCAGCAGCTGTTTGAGGAGCTGCATGGAGTGCGACTGCTGACAGATGCGCTGGAGCTGACACTGGGAGTGACAAAAGAAGGGCACCCTGAGTGCCTTCCTGTCCAGGAGACTGAGAGGGCCATGGAGATTCTCAAGGTGCTCTTCAATATCACCTTCGATTCTGTCAAGAGGGATGTGGATGAGGTGAGAGCAGGCCTGAACCCATGACTGGGGCTCAACAGCTTAGTTGGTTCCTGGACCCTTTGCCAGCAACATCCCTATTAGTTCCTTCAAACTTTGGGCGCCAGGCTTGGAATGGACAGGAGGCAGCAGGAATCCCTATTTTGGGTGGAGGCCTTACAGTGCTAGAGAGATGGAGGGAAGTTCTGGTTCTTGGTGAGTAGGAGGAGGGTTTTTGGGAGTGCAGTCTCAGGGCCAGAGCATGGAGTGTGATTTTTCATCCCGAGGGACCTATTGCCAGTTTTCATCAGGGATCTTCCTGAATGAAGGGGATGAAGAACTGAGCCAGTTAGCTGGGGAGCTGGCATGAACTGAGAAAGGGCTGCAGCAGCTCAGCAAAACCTCAGGAATGGGTGGGGCTCTCTCACAGAACCCTCTTTCTCTCTGGGCAGGAAGATGCTGCCCTTTACCGACACCTGGGGACCCTTCTGCGACACTGTGTGATGGTCGCTGCTGCTGGAGACCGCACAGAGGAGTTCCACGGGTGAGGGTGGGGCCCTGTGCTGGGCATGAAGTATAGGCAGACAGCTGGACAGAGATTGTCAGATCCAGATGGAATCAGACATCATTCTGTTTTCAGGGAGCTACAGATGCTTTCAATATGTTCGGGGGATGGGAATGTATTACTGGGTCCTGAGGAGTGGCAGCGAACTATTTATCTACATGCCAATATAGTTGGTTACCCCCACTTTAGTGATCTGTGCCTTGGTAACTCCTGGATGTTCAGAGATCCCATATGGCAATTGCTACTTATACAGGTGGTAGAATAAGGTGTTGGTTGGACTGCATCTGTGAACTCCAGCGAAGTTCCTCTAGATTCTGGACACAGGTTTACATTCTAGATAGTCTAAGCAGGGGCCCCCAGGTGTTGTTGTACCTGTACTGGAAGTCTGACCTTAATTCAGTCTCCTTTCCATCTTTACCCAGACATACAGTGAATCTCCTGGGGAACTTGCCACTCAAGTGTCTGGACGTCCTTCTCACTCTGGAGCTGAAATCAGGCTCCCTGGAATTTTTGGGAGTAAACATGGATGTGATTTGTGCCCTCCTCAGTTTCCTGGAGAAACGTCTGCACCAGGTGAGCAGAGTCTTCCTCCTCCCCTCCCCTCCGCCTAAGTGGGGAGAAGTTTCCAGAGTATAGTACAGTACTCATTTTCTCTCTTTTGCTGAGAAGCTCCCTTGGTCCTGGTCCTTGCTAGTGATCTCAGGCCTATAGTGTTACTGTGCTCAGGCAGCAGTTAATGATAAGCACCACCTGTCCATAGGCATTCGTATGGGGTCCTCGGGAATTCTTATCCAGAAACTGATTGCTGTGATTGCACCACAGGATGTTGGCAATGTAAGCTTCTACAGGAACATGATGTTATTCAGGCTGCAGTGACAAAAGATTCAGAAGACCTCTTAGGAAACCACATGCATGGATCACAGTGCCAGCCTGATGTTGGTTATACAGGTTGTGACTGTCCCTACCACAACCACTGCTGCTGTTCCTTGGATCTAGCAGTGGGGGAGGTTCTGGGGAGGGACAGAAGCTCAGTTTTCTGTCTTTGAAGATAAGAGAAAGAGGGATTTGTGTTTTCTGGCCACCATTGCATGTTGCAACTTAAATACTGTTTTCCCCAAAACCTTGGTGTATGGTGACAAGGTTAGGCTCAAAGTAGTGGGTTGTTTGCCTCAAGTCACAGAGCATGCAGGTGGCTTTCTGAGTTAGGTTCTACCACTATCTCTTTCAAAGTTCCTATAGACCCTGGTGCCCTGCTCTTTGTCCCTCAGCTGGCTAACTAAAGTGAGGCATCTTTTAGTACCTGCTGCCAGGATGGGCTAGTATGTGTGTGCACCTTATCCCACCCCCACCCCCTTCCACAAGTTGGGAGGGGTACAGTTCAGGTAACGGGGCTTCTCTACAGACACACAGGCTGAAGGAGAGTGTGGCCCCAGTGCTGAGTGTGTTGACCGAGTGTGCTCGAATACACCGCCCTGCCCGGAAGTTCCTGAAGGCCCAGGTAGGTAAGAGGTGGAAGGTCTGTGGGATGGGTTCTGGTCAGAGACCTTGGCTGCTCTAGGCTAGGTCTGAGACTGGCTGTCTCCCCCAGGTACTGCCCCCACTTCGGGATGTGAGGACTCGTCCCGAGGTGGGGGAGCTTCTGAGGAATAAGCTTGTTCGTCTCATGACACACCTGGATACTGATGTGAAGAGGGTGGCAGCTGAGTTCCTATTTGTTCTGTGCTCAGAGAGTGGTAAGTGGAGGGCCCAGCCCGAGGCCTACCCCCGCAACCCTGTCCGGAGCCAGGTTCTGCACACTCATCTCCTCCCTGCCCTTCAGTGCCCCGTTTCATCAAGTACACAGGCTATGGAAATGCTGCGGGCCTCCTGGCTGCCAGGGGCCTCATGGCAGGGGGCCGGCCTGAGGGCCAGTACTCAGAAGATGAAGACACTGACACAGATGAATATAAGGAAGCTAAAGCCAGGTTTGTGCCCCCACATTCTTGAGATCACCCCACTACTTAGGACCCCTGGAGTGGTGGGTCAGGATGACAAAATGGGCAAGTCCCTCCGTAGTCAGGCACCTGGTTTAAAGTTATGAGTATTCTTGGGACATTTTGTTGAGAAAACAGAAGCTTAAGAGAGTAGGGTAGTTTGGATGGTCCCAGTATCCAGACTAGCTGGTCAGCCGCTACTCTAGGAGGCAAGGAACTTCCTGCGTTAGCCTTGCCTTGGAAAATGGGTTTCTGGTCAGACCCCAGGCAGGAAGATAGGAGGCTCCACCAGCTTCATACATATACCCCCACCCCCACCCCACCTAGTATCCCTAAAAATTGCTCACTAATGCTTTCTCATCCCCCCTCCCCCTCCCCCCCCACCCCCCACCCCCCCGGGAAATAGCATAAATCCAGTGACTGGGAGGGTAGAAGAAAAGCCACCTAACCCCATGGAGGGCATGACAGAGGAGCAGAAGGAACATGAAGCCATGAAGCTGGTGAACATGTTTGACAAGCTTTCCAGGTGGGTGAAGCCAGTGGCTAGAAGAGAGTGGACCTAAGTCCCTGGGAGGTGTGTCTCGAGGGAACATGGAATCCTCAAAAGACTTCATTTTCTTTTGGGCCACACCTAGATGCCTTCTCTGCTACTCCCAGTTCAGAGTTTCCTGTATAGTGTTTGACTGTGTGGTGTTCGACTGCGTGATGCTGGGCCTCTGGCTTACAGAGCATATGCACTAGTCCTTTTGGCTTTCTCCCAAGACTAGTTATTAATGTTGAAATCACCTGCCCGGGAGGAAATCCCTCCAGGGATGGATTAGGGTTAATTAAGATGAGGGATTTTACAAAAGAAAACAGAAGCTTAAGGAAAACACTGAATTAGCGGTGTCTTTAAGATTGATTGATGAACATTCCCAGCCATACCTCCTCTTTAGGCAGGGGCAGTTTGGTGGCATGGAATGTGCCAGGGTTGAGCAGAACCCCTGCCTGAGCACTCCCTCCCCTACCCCAATCCCTTTCTTTTGCAGACACAGAGTTATACAGCCTATGGGGATGAGCCCCCAGGGGCAGCTCACATCCTTGCAGGATGCTATGTGTGAGACCATGGAGGGACAGCTCTCATCGGACCCTGACTCAGACCCTGACTGAGACGGCCACTCTTCTCCTTCAGAACCGGTGCTGCTTCCAGAGATGTCCTTGGGCCATGACCCCAGGAAGTTACATCCTTCTCTCCAGCTGGGAGACCTCTTCCTCTTTTCTCCCAAGAATCTGTTCATGCTTTGCCACTGGTCCAATTTCTTCTCTCTAGACCCGTGAGGGATTTGTCCTGCTGTAACTGGGATGTTTGGAAATGAAATGTTTTCCTTTATTTGTTCTGAGAGGACTTTGTGCTCAGATACTGCCTGAAGGCACTTCAATGAGGTGCCCTGCTCTTTCTGTTCCTGCTAACTGCAGGGGTGAATGGCCTCTTCTGTATTCTCAGTGCTGGCATGGCCATTTGCTATAGTGTCCATGAAGCCAGAATTATCCAGGGGTGGTAGTTGAATCTCAGCCTATCTGAGAACTGAGACCATAAACAATGATCTTGCACCACAAAAACATTGTAGAATAAAATTTTCAGTGTGTGCTTAAGTGTAAATATAAAGGCATGTTAAGCAGATCTAGAAACTAGTGTCTTTGAAGATTGCAGCACTATTGTGTCTTTTGTTCTTGAGTGAGGCTACTAATCCATCCTCTGAGGAGTTTTGGGTCAATTAAATCTGCTATGGGTATGCTCCCACAGACTGGGATCAGTGTTCAGTGGGGGAAGCAAGATGGCATGGAGGAGAATGGAGGGCAGAGATGAGTGCCTAGGATATACCCAGCCTGGCAGAACTTACCAGTACAGGGCTAGAAAGTATAAGACAAGTTCTGTCCTGAGCACTGGTCTGAGGGCCCAGGAGCCAGCCAGGGCTTCTAAGTGAGAAATGACTTCCATGTCTTATAGGCCAATCCTAATGGAGAGTGGGAACAAGGAGAGGGTTTTTTAAGGGAACAAGCGAATTTCTTGTGGGGAAGTGTGAACAGCATCACATTAGAATCCACAGAATGATTACCATTAGTGACAGTGGGTGTTCTGAAAGGCCCTTGCCAAACTCCAGGACCGATTTCAGTCCTTGTTCCATTTAATCCAACAGGGGACCCACACATTCCACCAAAGTCACCTTCCCATTATTCGCTGTCAGTGCTTGGATTCCCCTTGAAGAGACAAAAATAAAAGATTGCCTCATTTTTGTATCAAACTACTTCATGGCAAAAGTACAGGATATACTTTCTCTAAAATAACCCTACTAGGACCAGGGTATGGAGTATCTGGGTTCAGTCATCAGTATGGCTTTAAAAAAAAAAGCCCTACCAAGGTGATCCATATGCTGCATTAATTGGGACTGAGGACCATACTTTGGGACCTCATCAGTCTAAAACAGGATCTATCTCAACAGGTGAGCCTTTCTATATTTGTTTTTAGGCCACCACTGCCAGTGCTCAAGCGAACCATGTGGTGCTGGGGATTCTGAACCCAAAGCATATGTTTTCATTTAGTCTAAGACTGGGTCTTTTTTTTGGCTCTGCACTCTGAAATTACTCCTGGTGGTGCTCGGGGAACCATATGGGATGCTGGGGATTAAACCCGGGTCGGCCGCCTGCAAGGCAAATGCCATGCTCTACCTGCTGTACTATCACTCCAGCCCGAGACTGAGTCTTTTTAACATGCTAAACTGTTCTTTAGATGGGTCTGAACACAGCGGAAACATCAAGTCTAGGATTCTTGTCAAAGAAGGTCACCATCAGAAGAAACCTTCCTGCATCAAGAGCTGTAGCCAGGTGAAGAGTTAGAGGAGCAAATTTGGCAGGCCTCTGTGACTAGGGTGGTCTTGGGCAGAGACAACTACAGCCAGCACAGCTTGTTCCTAGAGAAGGAATTCCACCATACTGTAGTCCTCAGACCCTGGGATCTGATCCAGCCATTTACTGTGCACGTTCCCACGTTGTTCTTGCACAAGATCTCAGAGATGGATTGTCACCCCATTTGTGGAAACAAGGAAGGCAGCCATCACTCTTATCTGTTCTGTCCGTTGAGCTGAAACACAAGAGGGAATATTTAAAAATACCAGGACATAGGGCTGGGGAGATGGTACAGTGGGTAGAGCATTTGCCTAAAATACAGCCAAACCAGATTCAATCCCCAAGACCCCATGTGGTCCCCCAAGCCCACCAGAAGTGATTCCTGAGCACAGAGCCAGCAGTAAGCACTGAGCACAGCCAGGCATGGCCCAAAAACCAAAAGAAAAATAACTTTTTCTGTTGGCACATTCTGCTCTTGAGCCAACTTATGACTGATGCTGGCAGATTTGAGAAAATTAGGTGGTTGAATGTACGGCTAAATTCTAAATCAAGATGTACTGCAGCATTCTCTACCTAGAAAAGTAACTCAAACCCACAGTTCATCTCAGTTTGGAATATAACTAATTCCCTAAAATTAACCTACTTCACATAAATTGCAATGAAACAATAAACAAAAGTCAGACAGGACAATTGGATTAAGATCTCCATTGGCCTGTGAACATGGCACTGCCCATTCCTCCATTAAACTGGGATGTGTTCGCTAAATTTCCTGCTCATATTCTTCCAGTGACTAGCCATATGATTTTGTTAGTGGAAGATATTTACTGCCTACCGTACAATGATAGAGTAAATGGCACAAGCCTAAAACAAACTCTGGAATCAAAGAATAAAAATAACTGTGGCCAAATGTTTACTATGTGTAATACAGACAGTAAGTACTAAGTTGTATATTCTTAATCATTTCTGTACTTATCACTGGTTCAGTCTTCGAAAGAAATCAGGCTGCAGTCCTGCTGGGGGCCATTTTTTGTTTCCCAGGGGAGGTAAGAACAAGGGTGAACATACACAAAGAGTAGAGGTTTTGGTTAAAGGATTTGGCTCAAGTGACAGAGCATTTGCTTCACAAGTTGTTTTGAGTTTTACCTTCAGCACCACATGGACCCCCAGGACTGCCAGGGGGACCCCCATATACACATATTTTAAAAGACTGGAGGTTTTCTGAAACAAGTGCTTTGGAGCAACAAAGAAAGACAAGGCTTTCCAGTGAAATCCCTTTGGGCATTTGACCCAAAATTTCTTTGAATTATTCTTTGTTTTGTTTGGGGACCACACCCAGCAGTGTTCAGGGCTTACTCCTGAATTAAGTGCTCATGGATTGCTTCTGACAGTGCTCAGGGAACCATATGGGGTGCCAAGAATTGAACCTGGGCCACATGGCCTATCACTGTACTATCTCACCAACCCCCTTTGAGTTACTCTTGCCTGCGTGAAAAAGATGCTTTGAGACAACTGGACTTAAAAAAAAAAGCCTTGGGGGCTGGAGAAATAGCACAGCAGGTAGGGCGTTTGCCTTGCATGCAGCTGACCCAGGTTCGATTCCCAGTATCCCATATGGTCCCCTGAGCACTGCCAGGAGTAACCCCTATGCATCGCCAGGTGTGACCCAGCAAGCAAAAAAAAAAAAGCCTTACTGCCCACATCCAGGCCAACACATACTACTCGGTCAACTTGGGAAACTGCATTTTCTATAAGTTCATTTGCTTAAAGTCTTGAAATCTAGAGTTATTAAGTTCCTTGGTTTTCTACTTTCAACAGGCTATAACAAATCAAATCACAAGTGTGGCTTCACTTACACAGGTACAGAGAACAAAGTCCTCAAACTTGTATCATGTCAGATTCACACACTAGGCCTTAGCTGGGAGCAGTTTGGTGCTGATCTTTTAAGGAAGTATCCTAAGAGTGCCCAGATTACCTGGTCTGCTTCCTGCTCTGCCACTTAGAGTACTTTCATCTCCAAGTGGAAGTACTAAGGAACAATATTAGGCCCATCAGCACACAGTTCTCACAGCTCCTGGTATAGGATTAATGCAAACATTATCTATTACTGGTTTCGTTTTGATTTGTTTGAGGTCGGGGGTGGGGGGAACAGGGGCAGGTGAAGGGGCTCCTGTGGTATTTAGGAGTCGTGGAGCCAACAGTCCAGCAGAGGGCCCTAGGATGTGCTCAGCTCTGCAGTGCCAGGAATTATCCAAGTTAGGGCTGGAGGGCCCTAGGATGTACTCAGCTCTGCAGTGCCAGGAATTATCCAAGTAGGGCTGGAGCAATAGCACAACGGGTAGGGCGTCTTCCTTGCACGCAGCCAACATGGCCGACCCGAGTTCGATTCCTCCGCCCCTCTCGGAGAGCCCGGCAAGCTACCGAGAGTATTCGATATGCCAGACACAGTAACAACAAAGTCTCCAATGGAGACGTTACTGGGCCCGCTCGAGCAAATCGATGATCAACGGGAGGGCCTTTACTTCTTTTTTACTTTACCCAGTGGAGCTCTTTGGGTGACATCTGGCGATGCACAGGAGTTACTCATGGCTCTGCACTCAGGAATTACTCCTGGCGGTGCTCAGGGGACCAATATGTAATGCTGGAAACTGAACCCGGGTCGGTCGCATGCAAGGCAAATGCCCTACCCGCTGTGTTCCAGCCACCCAGACCTGCATCTTAATCTCTGTATTCTCTCTCTCTGCTACCTCTGTTAGTCTTTCAGATAAACAGGGCTCTACCTTAGACCCAGAACAGTAAAAAAGGGAGCCCTCAAAGAACTACGCTCAGCAGTCTATACCTTTCCGGTTTCCTTCTGGATAAGGTTCTGCAGCTCTTCCGTCCACCCCAAAAGCTCCACCAGCTTTTCCACACTCTGAACCAAATCTCCCAGCTGTATCACATCTTTGCTTCGAGGACCCAAAACGAAGGACCCCACCACATCCTTGTTTATGAGCAGTCGTGGCACTGATCTCCACACAGCCTCTGACAAACTGGCAAAAGGTTCCACCTGAAAAATTGCACAAATGTGAGGAGCATACTGTCTGCCCTGGAAGCCTCTCATAGCACTTTATGCCACAGCCCAAGGAACACAGAATGAACTCTTGCATCCAGAGAACACCCAGACCCATTTCCTTTCCTCTAATTGTGCCCACCAGCCTACTTTCCTCCTCCTTCAAACCTCCCTCTGGTGCAAGTCTGTGGCTCACATCTCTCTGCTCACGTCTCCTGACTCCTGTGGGTTTCCAAGTTCGTCCATGCTCGATTCCTTGATGCCTATTTTCCAGGAAGTAGTCCCTCTCTGTCTAACCCACACGCTGTCGTCTCCCAGCATGCCATGCTACTGACACAACATTATGTACCAGATCTTGCAGGAAAGGCCAACACTAAGAGGCTCTGATGAGCCCACAGACTGGGTGGCTATCCCATCTCTCCGTAGCCTTTGCCATCCAAACCTGCAGATATCTAATTCTGGCACTACATATAGTACTCTGAGCCCTGCCAGGAGTGATCCTGAGCAACACCAGGTGTAGTTAAAAAACAAACAAAAAAGGAGAGGAATTTCTCTTTACAAGAATGAAAAATCTGATGTTATTTAATAATAAACTACGGGGGCCAGAGTGATAGCACAGTGGGTAGGGCGTTTGCCTTGCATGCGGCTGACCCGGGTTCAATCCCTGGCATCCCATATGGTCCCATGAGCACTGCCAGGAGTAATTCCTGAGTGAAAAGCCAGGAATAATGCCTGAGCATTGCTGGGTGTGACCCAAAAAGGAAAAAAAAGTAAAAGTAAATAATAAACTACGAACTTTTTATTTAGATGGGCGGGGGGGCTTATCTCCCACTAGTGGTGCTAGAGCACCTATAGGCCTGCACACTGTGATGCTCAGGGTATTAAACACTGCTAGGCACCTTCTCTGGGCTACCCCAGAGGGGAGCAGGTGCTGTTCCTCCACCTGTTTCCCAGGAGGGACAGCCCCTGGCTACTTATTAAGCTCCTTAATGACCATGATCCCAGAGACACACAAATGAATCTCGGAACTGAGCAGTTCTTGGTAGAAATCTCTCCAGACCCTAATTACTAAAACTTTAGAATTCCGAGACTGTGCGGCCACTCCTGCAAGCTGCACAACATCATATGCTATTCATAACCAGCAATACAAAACAAATTGTCTTAACACTGCCTTTTTGGCAGGTCTGATGTTGGGGGAAAATTCCAAATAATAAGGGTGGGACTGGTGTCAAAATATTGAATGTAATCAAAGTAGAGAGAGAGTAATGTGGAAATTATCTGCCACATAGGCAGGGGTAAGGGTGGGATGGGGAGCATACTGGGGTTTTTGGTGGTGAAGAATGTGCACTGGTAAAGGGATGCGTATTTGATCATTGTATGACCAAGACTCAAACATGAAAGCTTTGAACTGTTCTCACAGTGATTCAATAAATAAATTTTTCAGGGATCACACCGGGGTTGGCTGCAAACAAGATAATTACCTTAATCCCTGTACTATCTCTCTGGTCCCTTATTTTAACGAATCAAATTTCTCAAAAAAAAATCAACAAAAAATTGTAAATATATGAAATTGGTGAGGATGTGGGCAAATGACATACATATATTTTTGGCAGCAGAAATAAGTGTATCTTTCTAGAAACCATGCTCAAATTTATTTACTATAGAAGTAGTCACACAAGTATGCAAAAATGTATACACATGGGTATTCACTAAATTTTCTTTCTTTCATTTGAGCCACATCCAGCAATGCTCAAGGCTCACTCCTGGTAGTGCTTGGAGACTCCATGGTGCCAGGAATCAAACCCAGACTGCCTGCATGCAAGGCCTGCACTTTACTGCTGAGCCACATCACCTGCCTTTCAGGGCTTTATTTTTTTAAGTTTGGGAGTCAAAGAGATAATACAGGAGTTAAGGTGCTTGCCTTGCATGCAGCTGAACTCAGTTCAATCCCTCAAACTACATACTACTGCCAGGGGTGACACCTAAGCATAGAGACAGAAGTAGTCCCTGAGTATTAACGGATGTTGCCCAACCTCTCCTCCAAATTCTTTTTAATCTTTTACTTTTTGAGCCACATACAATAGTGCTCAGGAACTATTCCTGGCTCAATGCTCAGGCAGTGAACTGGGGAGCAAACCTGGGCATCCCACAGACAAAGCCTATATTACTGGCCCTACATTACTTTTAACATAAATCTATTATTTATTTTTGCTGTCTATCAATAGGAACTTATGTAAATAAATTTTAGTATAGAACCACTACCTTTCCTTAAAACCCTCAAGAGATTTGGGATGCAGTTCAGATGTAAGCACATAACTGACATGGAATGAAGCTCCAAGTTCTGTCCCCAGCAGTATAAACAAAAACTCAAGTCTGGTTGTATTTCAAAATATTTAGTAGTTTTGAAGACCACGTGATTAGTATTCACCTTGCTGAGACTGGGAAAACTCCTTCATTAAGCTCACTGATACTTCTTCCAGATAGCACACACAGTAATATGTGGTCCATGCCACAGACTGGTGAGTGCTGGTACCCACAAAGAGACCTCTGTTTTGGGACCCAAAGTGGAACAGTATGTCTCTTATCAGTGAGGGCTTCACTGGATATATGCTCATGTGTTAGAGGAAAACTGCAAGTTGGGGCCAGAATGTGCTGCTCCCTTTTTCGGATTAAAGACCATTCCATATCTGTTTGTATTTGTACAAAAGAAAACCCTGAGAGAGTGGAACTGTTGATGGAACTGAAGTAGATCTTATTGCTGTCTGATAAGTATATGGGGCTGGAGAACACAGCTCGCTAGGTTGAGCACATGCAGAAAAGGCCATCAACACAGTATGGCTTCAAGGGTCCCTGAGCATAACCAGGATCAACCCCAGAACACAGAAGTGGGAGTAGCCCCAGCTCCCAATCCCCAACACTGCCTGTTGTAGACAAAAAAAAAAAGTGAGTCCACATTCAGTGACTGGGACAGATTTAACAGTGTCACTGCCACATATGCAACCTCCAAGGTCTCTGATCCTTCCAATAGCCCACTTAGGGCCTCTCCTGGCACTCCCTACTCCCATAGCTGTTCCCCTGGCCTAGAGATAATACAGTACCCAGGGAGTCACAAGTTAGTCATCATTCTCTGTACCAGTCCTGATGCCCTTCACACAATTGGATCTGACTGGCCTGTGCAATGTTCCCTGCCAGATATACTCTAGGGTCAGTGTCACTTTCCTGGTGGGGCATACATAATTCAACAAAGTTGCTACCAGAAGCTGTTGCCAGTGCCGCCAGCCTTTCAAGTTTACAGTTTTCCCAATAGCAAGTATGTAAGTCTCACAATTTTGAGATTTACTTATGGATAACTTCCTATCTGTCCAAAGTACTAGGACAGGGACTATATACAAAGAAGGCAGATTTGCTGAGTGAAACAGACACAACCTCCAGGTCTGGCTGGGGACCACCCAAGTGCAAGGCTCTCTTCAGGCCCTTCTCTCTAGATGCCAACATCTGATCACTGCTGCTCATGTCATGGTGTCATTTCCCGCTCTCATCATACCCTTTAGAAAGTCTCTGTGTTTCAGATCCAGATGTAGAACAGACCACTGTATGCCTGCCAGGCACCTCAAAGGTACGTGTGGGAGCTGCCTCTGCCTTCACACATACCATGCACCAACCACAACTTCAGGACCTCCTATCTTTGCTATTCTCCCACCCAGGGTGCATTCCCTAGGCCCAGATCCCGTTTTCTCACTGAATTCACTCATGTGACAATAGTCAGGCAACTGAATATCTTTTAGGACCTGAATCACCCCTCATAGCCCCACCTCCTCTGCCCCATCCTTCCAGTTCCTCTCCATATACTCCAAACACCACTGGGCCCATAGACAAACCTCCAGGGATGTCCCAAGAATGATGAGAAGATCTGCCATAGGGAAGTCAGTCACATGCAGGAAGAACCTCTGTGGCAGTTGCTCCCCAAAGAACACAATGTCTGGTTTTATGATGCCAGTACAGATGGGACAGTGGGCGATCCTGTCTTGTAGTACATCAGCCTGGGGTTAACACAAAGAGAAAATGATCCCTAGGTACATCATAAAGCCACTTTAAAAGGAAAAGGCAAACTTAAGACATTTTAAAATCATTCACAAAAATTGAGAGAAGTAAAATGTACCTTAATGTAACTGACTTTAGCAATTACTGATATTTGGGGGCTGGGGAGATAGTACAATGGGTAAGGTACTTGCCCTGCATGTGCCTGGTCCAGGTTCGATCCCTTGCATCCCAAATCATCCCCTGAGTACAGCCAGTAATAATTCCTGAGTGCAGAGCCAGGAGTAACTCAAGCATCACAGGAATGACACCAAAAGTGAAGGAAAAAAAAATGTAATGACATGTTCCAATTTTGATTCATGTTGTTCTCCTTCTCCAAAAATGTTAAGGGAAGACAAACAAATGAATCTTGGAAGCAAGCAGCTCTTGACAGAAATGCCTCTGGATTTTGCATTAAGCCACCTTCTCCGGGCTACCCCAGACGGGAGCAGGTGCCTTCCCTCCGCCTGTTCCCTGGGAATCCTGGCAGCTGCCATCTTCCAGATCTCATTGGAAAACCCAGGTTATGGGCCAGCAATGATGACACATGCCAGGACTCACAGGATAGGGGAGAAGCCAGTTCCTCTCCTCCCCCGCCCCAAGGGGACCCTGAGATTAAACCCATGAATGGCCCCCGGCTACTTATTAAGCTCCTTAATGACCATGATCCCAGAGACACACAAATGAATCTCAAATCCTAGAACCAAGTGGTTGCTGGTAGAAATCTCTCCAGATCCTAATTATTAAAATTTTAGAAATCCAAGACTATGCGGCTGCTCCTGAGGCCTCGCAACATCATATGCTATTCATAACTAGAAATACAAAACAAATTGTCTATCGTCTCCTTTTGGGCAGGTCTGAGTGTTGGGAGAAAACTCCAAATAGTGGTGGGACTGGTGTCAAAATATTGAATGTAATCAAAGTAGAGAGAGTAATGTGGAAATTATCTGCCACACAGGCAGGGGTAGGGGTCGGATGGGGAGTATACTGGTGTTTTTGGTGGTGGAAAATGTGCACTAGTGAAGGGATTGGTGTTTGAGTATTATATGACCGAAACTCAAACATGAAATCTTTGTAACTGTTCTCACGGTGATACAATAAATAAATTAATAAAAAAAATGTTTGGGGAACTAGAAGTATTTGAAAGTAGATTCTGGGGCTGGAGGAATAATGTTGTGGTTTTAGAGCACTACCTTGCAAGCACATTGGTTCCAAACCCTAGTGTCCACAGGCACCAAGAAAAATCCCAGTATCTCAGTGGTCTGTGATTCTGCATGGCAGACATTTCCAGATAGACCACAGCTGGCTGTATGTGAGTACCAGAACAAAGGGTATGGTACCTAGCAAGCACTAAAATGAAAAAATGTGCAGATTCCATGACCAGGAAATGCAACCCCTGGTAAGCACATGCATGAGCACCATAGCAACCCATGGCAAGCACCACAACCGTGACCTTTGTGCCTCAATTAGAGCAAATCCTAGTGAGCACATGTGTAGGCATCATAAACCCTGATGAATACCATGGCCTTGTGCAAGTGCTGCCGAAATACAGTCAGGCATACATGCAATCCCCAGTCAGCACAACATCAACAACAGAAACAATGAAGGAGAAGAACGGGGCACTTAAAAAAGCAGATTCTGGGGGGCAGAACAGTAGTACAGCAGGTGGGGCTTGCCTTGAGGGTGGTCAACCCAGATTCAATTCCTGGCATCCCATATGGTCCCCCAAGCTCTCCAGGAGAGATCCTTGAGCACAGAGCCAGGAGTGCACACTCAGGTGCACTGCTAAGCACTGATGGATATGGCCCCCAAAACAAAACAAAACCAAAAAACAAAACAAAACAAAAAACAGATTCTGTTCTAGACATCATGTGAGTTTCGAAAGAAAGGCATGGGCAAGCATGACTTGAGCGTTCAGGCTGAGAGCTATTCCCCTGGCCGGCCTATGACGGACAGACGAATGAAGGACTGGGGGAACAGAGAAACAGGGCCCTGGGTTTGTTGGTAGTCAGTTTATTTCTCTCTCCTCCCCAGCGTAGTCCAATCTCTCCCCGTACAACAAAATTGTAGTCATAGTTTTGGTCATAGTCCCAGTCATCATAGTTCCATCATGCTAGTCTCCTCATAGACCTCAAAGTCCTCTCTTCTCAGTCCTCGTCTTTGTCTTCTCTCTCTAAGTCAATCCCTCTTATCCCATACAGCATAGTTAAATAGAAATCACGAAGAGTGAGGATACATGTAGGTGGGGTTGAACACTGTCATAACAACAAACAGAGGTAAACCCACTCCTTCAGGGGAAGTTCTAAGAGATTAACTCAAGGACAAAATCTCATCTGAGGGGTCAGCACTCCAGATTACTAGGAGATCCGCTAAAGGCTCAAGGGCAAGATTCCATCCAGTGTGTATTGCTTTAACCTTTCCTCAGCTAGTAATCAATTTAAACAATCATAGTAAATTTACTTCTTAAAATATTTCTAGTCATTTTTTTATGAATACAATAAGAGCTTTATTAAGCTTAAAGGTTGTCTCTTCCTGGGGACATCTCTCCATATATCCCAGACTACAGTACTCAGGCCAGGTTAGTCTTTCCTAACCCCAGCGGGGTCCTTATTCAGTTACTTCTTTTTTGGGTCATACTTTTTTTTTTTAATTTTTTTTCTTTTTTTATTAGTGAAAAACCATGAGGTACAGTTATAGGCTTACAAATTTTGTGCTTGGGTTTCAGTTATACAATGATCAAGTGCCCATCCCTCCACCAGTGCCCGTCATCCATCCCCACGGGTCCCAGCATCTCCCCCCCCCAACCCTCATCCCGCCCCGCCCCCCCCCCCGTCCCATCCTGCCTCTGTGGCAGGGTATTCCCCCTTGTTCTCTCTCTCTTCTTTTGGGTACTGTGTTTTGCAAGAGAGGCTTTGAGTGGCAATAATGTTTGGTCTATCGACTACTTTTAGCACGCTTCTCCCACCCTGGGAGGGCCCTCACAACACCCTTCATTTGGTACTCTCTTCTCTATCTGAGCTTCCTTTTCACCTAGAGCCTGTGGCTGGCCTTCCATTCATGGAGCAAAATTCCTGGTACTAATCTCAGCCATTCCTGGGTGTTAATCTCCCTTTTTGTTGCTTTATGTTCCCCAGATGAATGCAATCTTTCTGTGTCTACTTCTTTTTGAGTTTGTCCCATGACCGTGCTCTTAACTTATTATACTTCTATGTCACTTAGCTTGTTCCCTTTTGATGCCAGGGTAGCTTACAGTTTGCCCTGGGTCCATCCAGTCCCTTCATCAGGACCCTGCTTTTGGTGTGCTAGGAACTAAGGGCAATGGAGGCTTAAGCCAAGTAAATATGGATTTATTTTATTAAAGGTAAAGGCCCTCCCGTTGATCGTCGATTTGCTCGAGCGGGCCCAGTAACGTCTCCATTGGAGACTTTGTTGTTACTGTGTCTGGCATATCAAATACTCTCAGTAGCTTGCCGGGCTCTCCGAGAGGGGCGGAGGAATCGAACTCGGGTCGGCCATGTTGGCCGCTTGTAAGGCGAACGCCCTACCTGCTGTGCTATCGCTCCAGCCTATTATTTTGTAAATATTCACTGTCACTGTTCTCCCGTTGTTCATCGATTTTCTCGAGCGGGCCCAGTAATGTCTCCATTGTGAGACTTTGTTGTTACTGTGTTTGGCATATCGAATACGTCATGGGGAGCTTGCCAGGCTGTGCCATGCGGGTGAGATACTCTTGGTAGCTTGCAGGGCTCTCTGAAAGGGGTGGAGGAATCAAACTCAGGTCAGCCATGTTGGCTGCATGCAAGACAAACGCTCTACCCGCTGTACTATCACTCCAGCCCTTGTAAACATTATTTTGTAAATATTATTTTGGAGTCAATTAACTCCCATATTACAAAGCATAGCATGAATTGTGTTCCTGTGTCTATACAAAAAGGATTGCTAAACCATGCAAGTGACATAAAGGAAAGAGAAAGCAATACAGAATTATTAGTGCTTGATGGAATTGGGTGTGCCTCAGAGGCACTGTTGTGGGAGTAACTCTATAAATCTAAGCTCCCTGCAGGAGGAGCAAGGACAACCCAATGTTATTCAACAACATCACATGGCACTTAGCATAGGAAATGAAATACTCAATACCTGGGTGTCTTGATATCAGAGACACTCAAGTGCTAAAGAAATTCTCAGCAGATTATAATACCCTCAGAAGGACTCCAGGACAGCATTTCTTAACCAGGGATATTCTGGGGGGCTGCAACATGAGACTGGGGCCAACTGGTAGGACAGAGAGGTCATGGGAAGAAAACATGGTCAGAGAGGACCACAGTCTGAAAAAGGCTGAGAAACGCTGCTTCAAGAATGGGCCTATACAGAACTGCAGACCAATGGAACAGGGTTGAATACACCGACATCTCCCCTCAATCATATGATCATCTAATCTTTGATAAAGGTTCAAGAAATGTGAAGTGGAGTAAGGAAAGCCTCTTTAACAAATTGTGCTGGCATCACTGGACGGCTACATGCAAAAAAATGGGCTCAGAACTCTGCCTAACACCATGTACAAAAGTCAGATCAAAATGGATTAAAGACCTCAACATCAGACCAGAAACCATAAGGTACATTGAAGACAAAGTTGGCAAAACCCTCCATGACATTGAAGCTAATGGTATCTTCAAAGATGCCACGCCACTGGCCGAGCAAGTGAAAACAGAGATAGATAAATGGGACTATCTTAAACTAAGAAGCTTCTGCACCTCCAAAGAAACAGTGACCAAAATACAAAGACAGTCTACAGAATGGGAAAGGATATTCGCCGAATACACATCTGACAAGGGGTTGATATCAAAGATATACAAAATACTGGTTGAACTCCACAAGAAGAAAACATCCAACCCCATCAAAAAATGGGGCAATGAAATGAACAGAAACTTTCTCAAAGAAGAAATCCAAATGGCAAAAAAGCACA